CTCTGTCACTTTTGTTTTGCACATTGGTTGCAGCATTCAAATGATAAAAAAAAGAAAAGAAAATAAAACCCTAAGAACAAAGATGAAGAAGAATGTCTGTAAATGCTGTACATATGTTAGGCTGGGCAGCAGCATGTGGTACTGACAGCTTGAACAGATAAACATGTGACTTGTGGAAAGGCTTCTTAGTCAAGCTTCAATGCAGAATGTTTGGATGTTTCAGGCCCTGCAGTAGGAATGCCAAAATACAGCTAAGACCTGCATGAGTAGAAAACTGGAATAAACCACCCTTATCGTATGCTTGATTTGAGCTGTAAATCTGAACTATTTTGATTGGTTAAACTACATTCGAAGCCATAATAATAAAACAGCCATTATATGCATACCTGTGAACTCAGCATCAGTTGAATTCAATGTCATTTAATTTTGCTTTATGTACTTGTCAGTTTCTATACCACATATTCAAAATTACACATTCGATTACAGTGTATACAAGAAATTGCAACAATTGTTATAGGTTTAGTATTGGCTCGTATACGTTTGATTTCATACATTTTTGCAACTTCAATTTTGTCAAACCTGACATTACTAATGAGTTTAGTATGAGAGATGAAAATCATCAGTGAATGACTTTTTGGTCTGTTCCTCACACTTTTAGGTCTTTACAGTCACAATGAAGTGTCCTTATATGAATCTGCCTTAAGATTCTTCAAAATGTATAATTATGTGTTTCATGGAGAAAAAATGAAGAAAAAAAAAAGTATTTGAGAGAATGTTCCCATTAATGCACAAAACGCTAAATGGAATCTGTAAACAACCTACAACTAGGCTAATGACCTATATTACTTGGTGAAACAATTGTTTATTGTGATCATGATTAATAATAACACTAATAATAAAGTTAATTATTAAAAGTGTATTTAACATTAGTGGCTTGTATCATATTCCTGTTGCCACCGTTTTATAAAACCCTTCTGTCATAAGAAATAATTTTTGTGGCTTATTGCTTTATTATAATATATTTTCTTTATAGCCACATCTGATGAATTACCGCTGTGAACACACATGATTATAATTAATGAGTTACGGAAATAAAAAGATAATCAAGTTTGTTTTATTTCTCTATAATCACTTGATCAACAATGCGAATCGTGCCTATTACCACATCATCAAGTGGCATTAACTTTTAAGATAGGCATTTAAAAGCAAGAGTTTTTATGTTATTTTACATTGCAAGAAAACCTGTAATTTGTCTTCATCAGCCTGTATGGACATAGCCGGTTACACAAAGTCTAGCCTGAGGAGGATCAAATCAACTCTACAATTTTCAGAAATGACAGATCCAATTTTATGTCCGTCCCTGCAGCATTCCCCAACTGTTGCTGTGTTGACCCCTCACCCGTTCTGCGGCGCTCTCTGCGGTACAGCTGCAGTTGTGTAAGATTGTGCTACATGGCCTTAAACCTTCTCTTATGTTTGGCAGTAACATAACTCTAAGAAATAAGAAGTGACAACAGCAAAGCACCCAAATCGCTTGCAAATTGATCGACGGCCATATTAATTATGTGCTTCGATTTGAATATGCTTTTCGTTTTATATAATCTACTGTGGTTCACAGTATGCATCCTAATAATCATTTGACAAGTTCTGTTGGACCAATTTTCACTCTTACCTCTCTGCAACCACCCTATTTTTCTTGAAATACTCCGTTCGTCCATAAAAAGCGACTGCTATGCCTTTATATCTGTCACAGTCACCTCGCTGACCCCGTGCTATTGCCAGTTCATTATGAATTCATCGCAGAACACCCACACAGCTTTGTTCATTATTAGTGAAAGCGCACTGATTCTGTCAGTTCTGTTGGTTTTACCAAACAATGACTCTCAAATTATTAAACCAAACATTATATACATCACTAACTGGCATCTGGGTTTGCTGTTACAGGCGTAGGTTTTTCCACTGTAAATGGAAGTAGTGCATTAGTTACATCTTTTTGTTATTTACCCCAATCCATGTAATCGCTAACAGAAAACAAGAGAGCAAAGAAGAAAGTTTTACTTTTGGGACGGCAGACTTCAGCAGGTGAAATAGTGCCCCAGATTTGATGGTGTGACTATTTCTCACTTCTCCTCCTTAATCTCACGTAGACATCTTTTTTTGTTTTTATCAAATCCTTAGATTATCATTTGATGTGGTGCGATGAAAGCAGCGAGGAAACATATCAGAGATTTGTGCTGAGCAAAATATAGTCTTATAAACAAAACACGACTTTTATAAAGACCAAAATAGAATTGTTGCCCGTCAAACATTCCCAGAAAAAGTCCAACAACAGGACGCATTGTAAGACATGCCATACAGTTGTTATTTGGCACCGATTCACTTTTTTAATAAAGACGTTTACACTGTTGCTTGCATAGCAGATTGCCAAATCCTGTACACGGTATATGGAAAATAGCAGATGAGCAGAGGGCTGTCTCTGCGCACATGTCAGATGAGACATGAGGAAGATCCAGAAAGTACGGAGAAAACGGAGCATGATGGCACTGAAGCAAAAATGCAGCAAGGAAATCTGTCAAGGAATCAAAGTGCTGACAAGTTGAAGGGAAGGATTCAAATGCTGCGAAAAACACACAGTATTTCTCACAAAACAGGGGAGGTGGGAAAGCCAAACGTAATCTAATTCCAAGATATTTTTGAACTTCTGCCCAAGCAAATGTTAAGCACTGTACGTAGGTATCACTGGTCCGACCCGCAGGTCTCAAAGGTCAGAGTCATCCTTTAGTTTTGACTTTTTTTGACTGTTTTAGCATGGCACCCTTGTGCCCGATGTATAGCGGAGAGTTGATTTGCATACTAAGAGAAGCGTGCATTCCCTATCTGCTGATCAGTGGTGTGTAGTGGACTGAAGGAGTTCCCTTTCTACCCAAATGCTGGGTTGAGCCTGTTCGGTCATCTTGTTTGGGATGGTACTTTTCAATGTTTGGTAGTTTTTGTGTTACACAGCCACTGGGTTAGTGGCAGGGTCAATCTCACTGACTGTTGAAACAGCACGGCTGAATGTGTGCATTTATTATTCTTATTTTTTATCTTACTTTTTCCATGCCTATATTTATATATAATTTTCTTGTGTTTGTATTCTTTAATAATTGCACTGTCCATGGAGCGTACCTGACTTACATTTCACTGCTGGTCATATATTCCCTATATAACCATGTATGTGACAAATAAAAAATCTTGAATCTTGAAATTCAGTAAAGGTTTGTGTATGCTGTATCTTATATATAATGTTGTTATTGTGCTGTAAATCATTTTATTTATATATTTATTTTTTATGCCATGCAACAAACTGAGATGATGTCAGTCAGCTAAGTGTGTTCACTGTGGTCATTTTGTGTGATGGAAACACCTGATGACTTAAAATAAAATGCTTTTATTTGTAAAGATACTGAATTGAATTATGATCTAGAAGTATTAACTCATGTATGAGGTAAAAATATGATAGTATTTTTGTAAAAAAAAAAAAATATATTATATATATAATGGTGGGTTAAATAGCCTAACTTGCTGAATAAAGTTAGCCCTCTCCACAAAAAAATAAAAAAATAAAAAAACTACTACTTTTACTACTAACTGCTGCCCAATTATTATTAATAATAGCCACTTTATTTTCCAAGCATTACTCAACTAATCCTTATTAAACACAGGAAATGGAATTATAGCTGCTATTTAATTTGGCTGCTAAACATTGCTTCATTCACAAATCTTTTTGTGTTTCGAGATATAACAAGGCCATTTACAATCAGATGTGATCAAAAGTGATGAAAAAAAAAAACTCTTGAGTTCTTAATTCTGTATTTAGTCTATTCATTTTCACTAGTTTAGTTTAATGCAATTAGTCTGATATATACAGACTGGTTGCAAATAATTCACACTGCGCTTTCGAACCTCAATGAGAATTGGTGTTGCTGTTGGAAAGTTTTACATCAGTAAATATTAGTGGTTTAAACACTGGTTTCGCACTTATATATATATGCAGTATATAGTATACAATTTATCTGAGGATGCACTGCCTCCCTCGCTTCCTTAGAATGAAATGTCCTTGGTGTAGATATATGTACAGCAGTCATGCAATGCATATTTAGAAACCTAAGAGAACATATTTTCCCTCTTTAAAGCATCGTTTCTGTGTGGGAAAATGCCTGTCTATTTTATTTGCCATGTACTGGAAAAAACCTTGCAGTTCACCATAGTAACCCCATTCACTGCGTATGTGTACCTTGTGCTATGAGTATACAACTGAGGTGAGAAAGGTCAAAACAATCCGCTTTTCCACACCCCTTTTCAACAAGTTGACTTAGCTCAAGTAATCGGGTTTTACAATATATGTTCCATCTCAATCCTGCTGAGGATCTCTTAGTTGTCAAGTGCCTCTACGTTATTTTTAGTCCAAAATTACCAGGTAGTCCTCTAGATGCAATCTAAAATTAATTTACTGCCCCTATGCTTTACATAGTGTCCTCCAGACATGTGCATATTTCAGCAGGGCGAAGTCGAAGGTGACTGGTATGATTTTTCGTACCTTGATAAATTTTGCTCATATGGTGCGACATATCTAAAGCACTCACGCAGAGCCTGGCGTGACTTTTATGATCATTTGCTACCCCTGAAGTGATTAATGATATGAGTCATATTAACCTGGCATTGTTTTTTAATTGCACATGCATAAAAGCTCTGTCTTAAATGATTAGTTCAACAAAAATGAAAAATTGGTCATCATTTACTCTCCCTCATGACAAACTTGTATGACTTTCATTCTTCCATGGAATACAAATGGTGAACTTTTGAATAATATCCTGGCCACTGTTTTGCATATAATGAAAGCGAGCTAAAATCTTGATAATCCACCCAAGCTCTTTTAGGTGTAAAATGAAAATGAAAGCCAATTAGATGAAAGAAAGTTAGATGGTCAAAATATTTAAAATGAAAAATAATATACTCACCCTCACGTTGTCGCAGATCTGTATGACTTTCTTCTACGGAACACAGACACACAAGGTATTTAGAAAAAAACCTGTTTGGTTACCAACATTCTTCGAAATATCTTCCTAAAATGACATCATTTGTATTTTTGGGTGAACTGTCCATGTAACAAAGAAAAAAAATAACATTTTGTCTCAAGACAAAATTACTTAAAATGCAACATACACTGCTAAAATTCATTTGCTGCATGCTGTTTCCGTTCCAAACGCACAATCAATTCAATTTTCCTAATCCCAAACCTTTCTTCCCTAGTGTCTCTTGTCGGACACCTTAATATTATTCAGATCTTGCTGCAGATACCTCATAGACAATATGAAAGTCAATGGTATTTTGGGGAGGAAATTATTACAATTAAAATTTAACAGAAAGGAGGGGGAGATAATGATGGATGAAATAAAAGTTATCTTCCCCAATTACTCCAGGCTTCCTTATCAAGGATAATATGACCAGCCAGCTCTCTGGAATGCTGATGAGATTGTGGCACTTTTCTTGGCTCCCCTTGCCTCGTCCTTTTAGTGTTTGACAAACATGTAAACAAAGCTTGTACAGTGGCTGTCAAGAGTCCTGCAAATGCAAGCTTGATTGTTGGTTTAATCAACACAAACTCCAAATCTAAAAATGGCCGCATTATTATTTGTGTTTTGTAGTATATTTCAGCGGCACTACACTGTGTTTCTCGCATGATTGATTGACTCCCGTGTAACATGTAAATGACCTGCAACATTTACTTAAATTTGTATAATTCTTCTCATGGTGTGACATATTTGTTTGAAAACATCATCGCTTCTGAAGGCCTTATGCAAATGTAATCTGTGTTTATCTCAAATGGATAGCAATAGCTCATCCAAAAATGCAACTGGCATTATTTACTCAACCTCGTGTTTTCCAAAACATGTATGTTTTTCCACACAAAGAGTTATTTATAGCAGAATATCCACACTGCTGTTTTCCATATACAACTGAAGTAAATGGTGGCCACTGTGTCAAGCTAAATTTTCAAGTAAATATGTCCAATTAATTTGGGACAGCATCTTAACTATCATGTCTTCAGAAGAGAAGGCACCTCATTACATCAAATAAATAAATATATACTAACGTTCACATAATTATTGACCCATCCTCAAAAAAAAAAAAAGAACTATAGCTTGCATGGCATATGCTAAACACAAATATAACAAAACACTTTCTGGTAATTTACTATTTTGTATATGTTAGTGTTTTGATGCCTTTACCTGCAGTACAAAGTCGTCGACAAGCTTCACAAACAGGTGTTGAACTTTAATAAAATAATTAAAAATAAAAATATTCGCTCACAATCGGTAAGATGCATTTCGAGGTTAGTTTCAGTGGACTGTAGGTACATATCCACTTTAACCAGCGAACTTTTGCTTTAGGTGTTCTAAATTTTGCTACTTTAGTACTGTTTTAGCAAGAAAGCACTCCAAACAACTCGTGAGTGAACCGTGACTGAATCGCGAACCTAACCTGTTTAAGTGATTCATTTATTCAGAACTCATTCATTTATTGACGAAACGACAACGCATTAAACTGCACGCTGGCGTATTCAGAGTTCACTAAAGTGAAAGATTCGTCAGAGTGATTCAAACAGCTCGTGCATTCGTTAATGATTCATTAAAAGATCCGGCACGTGATGAGTCATTTGTTCATGAATCGGACTGTGCAATCTGCGCTGTGTGTTTATTGATTCTTTAAAAAAGAACCGTCTCACGCTCTTCCGGCGGTTGGCGACACTGGGTTGTGACTGAGGCCAAGATGGACGGAAGTGGAGTAGAGTCCGGAAGTGATCTGGATTTGGAGGATGTAGATGGCGGGGGAAATGAAAGAAACAAAAGTAGTAAGTGGACTTTAGTAGAAAAGCGGAAAAGAAGGAAAGATTGGAGCCAAACATCATGGAACAGAAAGTGAGAGAGAATGTCATCAGATGAGAACAAGAAAAGAGGAGTTTAAGGTATTGGTGAAGTTTATGCGCTGGTTTGCCAACCGCCATTAAACACAGAAGAAGAAGAAGAAGAACCGTCTCACTCTCGAGAGTCATTTATCAGTAAATCAAACTGCTATGTTTTTGCGTGCGCTTCGAGAAGACAAATGAAAAAAAAAACAAAGTCACGCCATCGTGCCTTTGTTTAGCAGTATACAGTCTTTTATCTCATCACATTCAATTCAGAACAGCAAGGTCACAAAAACCGCTGAACTGCAGGAAAAACTGAGTGAACAACTCGACCAAAGTGCAGATAATAATGCGCATGTGCGAGAATTTCGCATGCAGTAATGCACTGTTAAGTGCGGTTGCCAATAAAAGAAAAGAAGAAGAAGAATTTCGCAGGCAGTATGTCTTTCTAGAGCGTCTGTATTTTACTGGGCCTTGCAAAATAAATGTAGCGACGTCCCTAGCTATATGGACTATAGAGAATTTTCTTTTCCACATAAGAATAGAGATTATACGGGTTTGGAACAACTTAAAGGTAAGCAAATAATAACAGAATTTAAATTTTGGGGTGGATTTTTTCCTTAAACTTGCTGTGGTTGCTGTAATCATAAACATAACCAAAAATAAACCTGAGCTACACTGTAAACACAGACCGAAACACAGATCCTTAGGACACGACAGGGTAAAAAATGATCTCTACCCTGAAATTGGAGGAGGGTAGACTACATGCATGTAAGAATTATATAAAAATGCGGGTGAGTACACAATTACACCCCTCTGGCAAACAGGTCTTTTTTGGGGGCTTGCTGCAGATTATCACATTTATCTAGATGTCTGTGAGCACTGGGGGAAGCTGGTCCAGAAGTTTACTACCTGGCAACAACCTCTCATGGGACATCCCACACCTGCTGGGCCCCAGATGTGCTCCCTCGTGTTGTTTAGGGTTCTGGCCTGCAGATAAATCCCGCAGGGTTTCCCAATACTGCTGAGAGAGAGCAGCACAGAATATCTGCCAATATACACCCTGACTGCGTAATGTGCAGTGCAATGTCCAGTGTGAGTTGATCTTAGTTGTTTTATTTATTAGTTGAGAGTAATTCGCATCAGTGGTTATTATGGAATTGATTAATTATCATGCCAGGGGTAATATATGGACTTTGCTTTCCGCACTGGTAAACATCAAGGCTGCCAAAAGGCTGAGTTGTAGTATTGAGTGTACAGACTTAAGTAAGCATTGAGGAAATAGTCTCTAAAACGCAGGATGAAAATTATGATGAAAAAAAATTATAAATTATGTTGTTATAGTTTTATGAATTCAATTGATTAGACATGCTGTTGGATTATTAAAATTTAATTAAACTTTTGAAAAGTTATCCAGAAACATTTAAATGGAAAACATAGAATGTGGGAAAAATAAAAAAAATTTGAGGGGGAAAATAAATAATTTTATAGGTCCCTAAAACATACAATTTTGGTAATTTTTTTAAATTGATGTTAAACTGTATGTTTAATGATTTCAGTTAATTAGACATGCTAACATTTAATTTAACCATTAGCCATTACACAATTGAACAATTTCATAGTGCCATATTAATTTTTGATAGTCAATTTCTATATATACACATGGTGTAGAGACTTGGGCATGTTGTCACACTATGTGGGGTAAGTTGTCACAATGGAACCTACAGTTAAACATCCTATTATAGGCTTTTCAGCAAAATGTACGAAAAGCAAAAATTCACAAGCATGTCAAAAACATTATAAACAAAAACTGTTGTTTTGGTCAAACATTTATTAATTAAAATATACATATACTGTAGTATTGGGTCTTACATTTTCAAATCAGGAGTACGTTGTGGATTCATTCTTCTCATAACCTCACATAAAAAGTAGATAACGTGTTAAACATGTCTAAAATGACTGCTGTGACAGACATATGGAAGCATTGCTATGCATCGCTAAATACAGATGGCTATACTATATATGTTAAATAATTGATTATCATTGTAAAATGCATATTTCAGTTTATAATGGCTCACGGTCCTCATTGTGTTTTTGTGTGCATCTAGCAAGTATGTCATGCAGTGCTAAAAGTGTAAAGAGGTTAGTGTCTGGACAGCATTGCGTTAAGGGGCCACTGAAAATGTTAATGGTACATATTCAAGGGCTCATTAAATGTTGTCCCTTTATGTATCAGTGATTAACACTCTACAAGGGCAGCCAAATATATCTGCCTTGTTGTCTTTTTAATTTAAAAGGGAGCTTTCCAGTTTTGCGGATCTTAAAACACTACAGTCCCTCAGAGGCATCTGACTCACATCTTGCACTTTTCTGTTTTCAGTGCATATAATCTTCTATATTTGAATAACAGAGACAGGTTCAGATAGACTGAGCCCAAGGTGAAATGATTTCTTAGGAGAATTTGGTGAAAACAGAGCAGTGTACTGATAACGATCAGAGGAATCGAACCGCTCGTCTGCGAAGCTTCCGTTTCGCATCTTCCGCTTGATGGGGACAGGGCTGGTGTGCGTTGACATGTGTTGGTGACTGGCCCAATGTTTGCTCTGTGGAGTTTCACAAGATGCTCAGAGAAACATCCAGGGCCTGTCATTTGCCGTGAATGTTGCCTACAGCGACCCAGAGGCTCTGCTTGTGTAAGACAGACATTCTGCCCAGAGGCCATTTTGCTTTCCTGGTACCCCCTCTCATTTTATCTCAGAAGTCTAATGCGTAATAAGTTGCTCTCTCAAGTTTTCCTGCGTGAAGCTTTGTTCTCGTAAGGGAGGATTGTTTGATTCATATTGTATTCTGTGAGGAAGACAAAACACATTTTAGTTTCATCTTTGCATCACAGGCAACCCGCTGAAAACCGCACACCTTAGACAAAACTAAATAAATGTGTGTAAACATCTACTGCAAACACTATCTGTGCCATTCCACTATTGTAATGAACGTATGCTTGTCCTTGCAAAACTTGCTACAGTATGTGGTTGTTAGAGTGCTCTTGGTGGTTGAATCAAAAGAACTCCAAGTTTGGCCACTGTTCAGACCAAGTTTATAGGATTTGTCTCCCATTTTTAATCGTTTAGAACAATGTTTCTCAACTCCAGTCCTCAGGACCCACCCTCACAGAATGTTTTGGATGTATCCCTGTTTAACAGACTGAGAAGCTCAGCTGATAAGTCGAATCTAGTTTTTTTAATTCTGGTAGGTGGGTCCTGAGGACTGGCATTGAGAAACACTGATTTGGAAAAGTAATAACACTAACAAGCCACATATGTTGTGGTACAATGTTAAAAAGTATGTTTACATGCACTTTAAAAATTACATTTCAGTCATGCTGAAGTAATAATTTGTCTTAAAATGTCATGCAAACAATGTATTTCCACTTAAATCAAGCCAGTCCTTTGTCTTTCTTTCTTTCTTTCTTTCTTTCTTTCTTTCTCTCTCTCTCTCTTTCTTTTTTCATTCAAAGTTGAACTAACGGATCTAGATAATATGATCATGGCTTCGTTCAGCATGTGTATATTTTAATCAGACAATGCGTTTGGCTTGTGCTCAACATTAAGGTTTTGCGAAAAGTATAGGATAGTACACCCAAAAATGAAAATGCTGTCATTAATTACTCACCCTCAAGTCGTTCCAAACATGTAAGACCTTCGTTCATCGTTCATCAAATGCATTACGCATGCATTTTTCACTTGGACATTCTTGGTATTTTAGTTACACAGACTTTACCTGGCATTAAATTCATAAACTCAAAACACATTCAATACAAAGATTTTACTAGTATCAACACAATATTCTTTTTATTGCATTTATTAAAATACATTATTGTTGTATCAGCAAAATACAGTAGTGATTGAACTCTGATTTGTATGTATTCAATACATATCTATAGTATAAATTAAATAAATCATGTCTTGAGTATTCAAACTTACAGTTACCCAGTTTTGCAGTTGAATGTGTGTCCCAGTCTGTTGAATTTAGTAAACGAATCTGAGATGCATGTTTTATTTTGAGATTGTGTGAGTTTCTGTATGGGCATAAGGTATTCATTTTATTTGTGCAGGTACTGAAAAAAAGGCTTTAAAAGTTTTTAAATTGGAATTTAAAAACATTACAGAAGCCCTACTTTAGTTAAAATAATTTACTACAAACTCGGAAACTAGGACATCACTCTGACTCTACAGTCAGGAAAACTGTTTATGCATATGCTCTGAAAATGGACTAAACAGTTTTATAAATAGAAGAAGTTCAGCGCTGTTGATTTTCAAACAGGAAATGAATACCCTACAAAGACCAGCACAGGGGTGCTCTGTTAAAGAGGGGGGAAAAGATGACAACAATAACTCTTTGGTGACTGCTATGAATCTGCAGGAACCTCTTGCATGTGATAATGTCTGTTGTTATGC